TTAAAGGAAAATATGGTCATAATGAGTGAACAGCAGAGAAGTGGAAACTATAAAAACTAACCAAATGAAAAAATCTAGAACTGAAAAATATAATTTCTGAAGTAAAAATATTAACTAGGTGGATTTAACAACAGGTTGGAGAGTACAGAAGATAAAATTGAACTTGAAGACGAATCAGTAGAAATTATCCAATTGAAGGGCACAGAGGGAAAAAAAGATTGAAAAAATAACGAACAGAGCTTCTGTGACCTATAAACAGTGACCTCAGTGACCTACCATATAAAACAGTCTAATATATGTGAATTGGATTTCCTGAGAAGAGATTAAGAATGAAAGAGAATAAATATTTGAATATATAATGGCTGAATTTTCCCAGCTTTGTTGAAAAGAAATGCCAACTTATAGATCCTAGAAACTCAGCAAACTCCAAGCAGAGTAAATACAAAGAGATCATATCATAGCGAAACTGCTGAAAAGATAAAGAAAAAAAAAACCTTAAAAACATCTGGAGGAAAAAATACATAAAGGGGAACAACAGTACTCATGACAGCTGACTTTGCATCAGAAAGACTGGAAGCCAAAGGACAACGGAACAATATTATTTAAGCGTGCAAAGAATGAAAAGGAGAGGAAAAAGCCCACAACTATCAATCCAGAATTGTGTATCCATCAAAAGTGCCCTTCAAAAATTAGAGTAAAATAATGATATTTTATTCACCACAAATAGACTTGCACTACAGAAAATGCTAAAGAAGTTTTGCAGATTAAAGAGAAATAACACTAGGTGGAAACTCAAATCTATAGGAGGGAATTAAGAGAACCTGAAATTGTAAGTTTTGGGGGTATATATAAACGGCTATCTTTTCTTATCTTCATTTTCTGGAAAGATAACTGACAATAGAAAAAAAAAACACATTGAATTATGGTATCACAAAATACTACTGAGAGAAGAACTAAATAAATGAAGATATATACCACATTCATGATTGGAAAACTCAATATTGTTAAGATACCAAACCAACCAAGCCCGCTGCCACTGAGTTGTTACGGACTCATAGTGACCCTGTAGGACAGAGTAGAACTGCCCCATAGGGTTTCCAAGGCTGTAAATCTTTACGGAAGCAGACTGCCACATCTTTCTTCTGCAGAGCAGCTGGTGGGTTCGAACCACCAACCTTTTGGTTGGCAGCCGAGCACTTTAACCACTGTGCCACTAGGGCTCCTTTAAGATGCCAGTTCTCCCTAAATTGATGCAGACCCAATCAAAATCTCAGTACACTTTTACATTTTAAATGAATAATTTCTCTTACAAGGATCACCACAAAGCTGATTCCTATGAGGCAGGGGTTAAAGATGTCCCAGATGTCCAACTTTTCCAAGCTGTTGTACCACTCCATCATCTCTAACATCAACTACTCCCACTTCCCTCAGTACTCTCCCTCCGTCTTGGGTTCCTTAATTTGCTGCAATGTCTCACAGAACTCACGAACTGTATAAAGGAAATGGCTCACGCAGTAGTGGAGGCTGGCAAGTCCCAAATTCACGAGTCGGCCTAGGCTTCTCCCAACCCACGTGGCTGTAGGAGCTGACGGACCCAAACTGGCAGTTCAGACCACAGGCTGCTGGCTCATAACGCTGCTGCGGAAGCTGGTTAATCAGATCACATGATAGGCTGCCAGCCCAAGGGTCTGTGGATGCCGGCAAATTCCAGAATCAGCAGGTCAGACAGCAGACCTCTGGGGAGGTTAGTTGATCATGGACTGGACATGGGATCCAGATGCAAAGAGACAGAGAGCCTTACCAGGACACACACATGTATCTCAGATGTAGGCTACACCCCAGGGAAGGGTGTAACTTTAGTAAGGGTGGGGCTTGAGTCACGCCCTCCTGCAAGGCTGCAACCCAACACACACCTATACCAATCCTGTATCATCAACATGTAGAGGTCAGGATCCACAACATATAAAATGGAGGACAACCAGACAATACTGGGAATCATGGCCTAGCCAAGTTGACACATAACCCCAATCATCACAGGTTCCATATATCTTATTTGCATAGTCCCACTCAGTCATTGTGTGTGAGTCATGAAAACCGTGGCTAGAAGGGCCATATTAAGTAATGTATTGCACTGCAGTATAAATTAACAAGCTGATTCTGAAATGTATATGGGAATGCAAAGGTCCTAGACTAACCAAGATAATCTTGAAAAACAAGGAAGTTGGAGCACTTACATTATCTGATTTCAAGACATACAATAAATGTAATCAAGATACTGTGGTATTTTGTCCAGATAGACCTATGTAGATCAGTGGAGCAGAATAGAGAGCTCAGAAATAGACCCACTCATATAAAGTCAATTAATTTTTTTGCAAAGAGCTAAGGATTCATAATTAGATCAATGGAATAAAATAAAGAGGGCAGAAATAGACCTACCCATATATAGTCAATTGATTTTAAACAAAGGCACAAAGGCAGTTCAATGGGAAAAGGAAAGTCTTTTTAATAAGTGATGCTAGAACTGCTGAAGAAGCATGTGGATGAAAATGAACCTATCTCATACAAAACACAACAGTTAATTCAAGATGGATCATAGAACTCAACTCAGAGCTAAAATTATTAAGCTTCTAGAAGAAACCATGATAAAGTACCTTGTGATGTTGGGTTAGGCAATGATTCCTTAGGGAAGGCACAAAAATCAATAAGCATAAAAGAAAAAAAAGTGGTAAAATTGAACTTCATCAAAAATAAAAACTTCTGTTCATGGAAAGATACAGTTAAGAAAATGGAAAGGCAAACCACAGACTGGCAAAAAATATTCACTATATATATCTGACAAAGGAATCCTACAAATACATACTAAAAATACAGTCAGCTCAACAAAACATGAGAAAATATTTAACACTTCACAAAAGAAGATATAAGAATGGCCAAAAACACATGAAAAAGTACTCAGCATCATTAATTATCAGGGAAATGCAAATTAAACGTCAAAGTAGGATGCCACTTCACATTCACTAGAATGACTAAAATGAAAATGACTGACAATTAAAAATGTTGGCAAGGATGTGGAGCAACTGGAACGCTCTTAATTGCTGGTAAACTCGTTGCTGTCGAGTCAATTCGGACTCATAGTTAGGAGTGTAAAATAGTACAGCCCACTTTAGAAATTTGTTTGGCAGTTTCTTATGAAGTTAAACATCCCCCTACCTATGACCCAGCCGTTTCACTCCTGTGTAATTACTGAAGAGAAATAAAAACATGTCCACAAAAAAACTTGTACAAGAATGTTATAACAGCTTTATTCATAATAGTTAAAAACTATGAGCAATTCAAATATCCTTCAGCAAGAGAATGAATAAATAAATTGTGGCATGGTCAATAGTCAGATACTATTCAGCAATTTAAAAAATGAATTACTGATGCATAAAAGCAATGTGAGTGAATCTTTTCTGGGGGGTAGGGCAGGGGTTTGAAACAATTTTAAAAGCATGATGTTGAGTGAAAGCACTAGCCAACCAGTTGCTGTTGAGTTGATTCCAACTCATGGTGACCCAATGTGTGTTAAAGCAGAATTATGCTCCATAGAGTGAAAGAAGCAGACGCAAAAGAATACATACTGTATGATTCCATTTATTTGAAGTTCCAAAGAAGACAAAGCTAATCTATAGTTTTAAAAATCAGAGCATTAGCTACCTAAGGAGGGAGGGATTGTCTGGAAAGGAAGATAAGATAAATTTTTGGAGTGATAGAAATGTTCTATATCTTGTTTGGAGTATTGATTACCCTGGGATATTGGTTACATAAGCGTACACTCATCAAAACTCATTGAATTGTACACTTAAGGTAAATTTCACTGTAGGTAAATTTTATCTCCAAGAGGAAAAGAAAAAAACTTATATGATTAAAACTGAAATGATTATTCCTGTAGTCAATACTGTATGTTCCATATTATATATACTTTAATACTATATATACTATATACCTTATATATGTATGATGTATGTGTGTGTATATGTACATACATACATTGGAAATAAAACGGAGCAGTTACTTTTTTTTCCCAATAAACATCTATCATGCATATACTATAGGTCAGCCATTGTGCTACTTGGTGGGGATGCAAAGGTGAGCAAGAGAAAGTGACTGGGCTCAAAGAAATCAGCATCTAGCTGGAACCATAAAAACACAGTAGATGAGTGCCATTATAGAAATGGATGTTGAGTGTGAGGCAAGTGCAAAGGAGGAAGGAAGTAACTCAGATTTGTTGAGGTTGGAGTGGTGGGACCAAAAGTGAATAGACTTTGCATGGAGAAGAAGAGCTTTTCAGGTCAAGAGAACCACATGAACTAAGACATGAGCCTGCATGATGTGTTTGCAGAATTTTAAGTATCTTAATGTGACTACAATGATGGGAGATGGTATAATGATGGGAAATTATATACTTAAGTGATGGGACCAGATTGTGCAGGGTCATAAATGCCATCCTAAAGAGTTTAGATCTATAGGTAATTAGGGGCCACTGAAGGCTTTTAAACAAGAGTGACATCAATTCTGTTTCTGTGTTTTAGAAAAAAATATCTGATAGTTGTCGTTGTTGTTAGGTGCCATCAAGTCGGTTCCAACTCATAGCGACACTGTGCACCACAGAACAAAAGACTGCCCCGTCCTGCGCCATACTCACAGTTGTCGTTAGCTTGAGTCCATTGTTGCAGCCACTGTGTCAATCCATCTCGTTGAGGGCCTTCCTCTTTTTCGCTAACCCTCTACTTTACCAAGCATGATGTTCTTCTCCAGGGACTGGTCCCTCCTGACAACCTGATAGTAGTAAATACAGATTATTGAAGTTGTGAAGAGGTTAGAGGCAGAATAGGCAGTTAGAAAAGGGTTGCAAGAATCTAGTGGTCGTTTAATTTAAAAAATACTTGTTCGTTAGAATTTTATGATTAAACATTTTTATTTGCCTATTCTTTTCTCTTTTTCTTTAAAATTCGCAACAGGAATCCAGAAACATTTTGGACCACCACAGGAATGTTTCCCCAGGAGTTCATTATTTGTTTTCACAAACATGTAAGGATTGAAAAGCTTGTAATCCAAAGTTACTTTGGTAAGTAAATCATGTATTAATTTTCATCATCTTGTAGACAGAGGGCACATACGACGTAAACTTTTGGCAAAACACTAGTGTTTCTTTACAGCATAGAGCCCTGTTTTCTTGCCGGGGTTGAGGGTTGAGAGTATGGGTTAACTGTCTTAAGCACAATTAGCCTTTCTGCAACTGCAAATTTGAAACCATTCCAAAGCACATAATAATTTCCAAGCAATTTACTATGTGAAAGTCTTTGGCAAAAGATCTCAGTATAAGCATAAGAAGCCAGCTTTCCGGAACGCTAGATTCCATGACCTCTTTCTTCCAGGGTCATTTGGTCTGGGATTCTCTGTCAAATTCTTGCTGAAAATCTGATAACCTTGATTATTCATGTTGGATAGTTTTGATTCTTCTATTACTTATGGCATTTTCTGAAGGATTTAGGAAGAGAATCTGCCATTGGAACATCATTCTAATCCTGTTTTATGTTTACTTAAGGATAAAGTGTATCAGACAAAATCCTGGCAGGAAACGATATCCTAGATGGTTCAAATGAACAGACTTTGATGACAGGACTACTTAAAAAATTATGGGTGGGTTAAAGGAACAAACAAAGGATGGTGAGGCCCCCAGAAGCTGGCATAGTGGGGTGCCATTTACATTCCTGGTACGAGGGAACGAAATGGCAGTCCTGGAGGCGAGTGAGAGCTGGAGCCTGTGGAAAAAGGCCTGCCCAGCAGGAGCTGTAGTCATGAAGGCATGTAACCACTGTCAGAGACATGACACTGAAGCAAGGGGGAAGTGTAGAAAAAAATAGCCTTGGTCTCACTTTCCCACTGCTCTCCAAACTCCCCCAGTGCCTCCCATTGGCCAAATTCAACCAGAAGCCAGTGGACAAGTGAGTCTAGGTAACATAGTCCACAAGGGTCAGCCTCCCAGGGCACAGAACAGGACAGAGAGTTTATGACCAAGACCACTGATATTATTACTAATACACAAAAACCTGAATGATACCAAATTCAGTAAGGCTCTATTATCTCTCTATTGTAAGACTGCATACATTTGTAAGATTACCATTACACAAGACTACATTTTACCATAGGGACTTATGGAAAAACACGGGGCAAATGGGTAATTTCCAGAACATAGCATTCCCGATCCCAGTACTCTGTGCAATCTCACCAGTTCACCGGAATCTCAAGGGCAGGAGCATAGAATCAGGTAGATAATTAACACTTTATTTGTTTTACAACATCAGTGCGGACCTTGAGGATTGAAAAGAGCACATCTAAAGAGCCAGTTGATTTTGAGCAGTGGATTGAAAGAGGTATGTGTTTGTTTCACAACGTTGTTCTGAGCATGAGGGAGTAGAGAATTGTCCTTTGACTCTGTATTTCCAATTGGGCTGCATTTTGGTGAAAAAGATGACTCGAATGATCCTTGTGACACATTTGTTGTTGTTGTTAGTTGCCATTGAATTGATTCTGACTCATGGTGACCCCATATGTGCAAAGTAGAACTGTTCCATAGGGTTTTCAAGGCTTTAATCTCTGTGACCTTTCGGAAGTAGATCGCCAGGGCTGTCTTTCAAGGCACTTATGGGTCAGTTTGAACTGCCAGCTTTTCAGCTAGTAGTCAAGTGCTTAACCATTTGCACCACCCAGGGACACCTGTGACACATTTAGGGCCTAGAAGAACCCAGGTTTGAACACAAGACTGCTCCTTCACTTACTGGTTATATAATTGTTGACATGTTCATTTTTCTTTCTTTTTTTTTTTTTTAATAATTTATTTTCTTTTTTATTGTTGTTGAAAATATGCACATCACAACACACACCAATTCTACATGTACAATTCAGTGACATTTATTACATTCTTCAGGTTGTACAACGATAAAATTAATGCTTTCTTAAGAGAAATTAGAGCCTTGGTGGCGCAGTGGTTAAGATCTTCGCTGCTGACCAAGAGGTTGACAGTTTGAATCTACCAGTCACACCTCAGAAACCCTATGGGCAGTTCCATTTTGTCCTGTAGGGCTTCTATGAGTCGGAATGGACTCAACAGCAATGGGTTTGGTTTGTTTGTTTTTTTAAGAGAAGCTGGTATTATTATTATTTTTTTAAATTGTGCTTTAGGTGAAAGTTTACAGCGCAAGTTAATTTCTCATTCAAAAATTTATACACATACTGTTTTGTGACACTGGTTGCAATCCCCCTAATGGGACAACATACTCCCACTTTCCACCCCTGGTTCCCTGTGTCCATTTGACCAGTTCCTGTCCCTTCCTGCCTTCTCATCCTTGTTTTGGACAGGAGTTGCCCATCTGGTCTCGTATATTTGATTGAACTAAGAAGCACGTTCCTCACGTGTATTATTTTTTGTTTTATAGGCCTGTCTAATCTTTGTCTAAAGAGTAGGCTTTGGGAATGATTTCAGTTCTGGTTTAACAGAGTGTCTGGGGGCCATAGTTTTGGGGGTTCCTCCAGTCACTGGCAGACCATTAAGTCTGGTCTTTTTACGTGAATTCGAATTCTGTTCTACATTTTTCACCTGCTCTGTCTGGGACTCTCTGTTGTGTTCCCTGTCAGGGTGGTCATTGGTGGTAGCTGGGCACCATCTAATTCTTCTGGTCTCAGGCTGGTGGAGTCTCTGGTTCCTTTGGTCCTCTAGTCCTTTGGGCTAGTATTTTCCCTGTGTCTTTGGTTTTCTCCATTCTCCTTTGCTCCGCGTGGAATGGGACCAATAGATGTATCTTAGATGGCCACTCTCAAGCTTTTAAGACCCCAGACGCTACTCACTGAACTGGGATGTAGAACATTTTCTTTATAAACTGTGCTATGCTAGTTGACCTAGATGTCCCCAAAACTATCGTCCCCAGGCCCCATCCCCAGCTACTCTGTCTCCCAAAGTGTTTGAATGCGTCTAGGAAACTTTTTTCCTTTTGCTTTGGTCTGGTTGTGCTGACTTCCCTGTATTGTGTGTTGTCCTTGCCTTCACCGAAGTTGACCCTTGTCTACTGTCTAGTTAGTGATTTCCCCTTCCCCTCCCTCCCCACCCATGTAACCATTAACGAATGTTTTTTTTTCTGTATTTAAACCTTTTTTTGAGTTCTTATAATAGTGATCTCATACAACCCTTTTGTTACTGACTTATTTTACTCAGCATAATGCCCTCCAGATTCATCTATGTTGTGAGATGTTTTGTGGATTCATCATTGTTCTTTATTGTTGCATAGTATTCCATTGTGTGTATGTACCATAATTTGTTTATCCATTCATCTGTTGATGGCCGATTAGGTTGTTTCCATCTTTTTGCTGTTGTGAATAGTGCTGCAGTGAACATGATGTGCGTATGTCTATTTGTGTGATGGGTCTTATTTCTCTGGAGTATACTCCTAGAAGTAGGATTGCTGGGTTGTACGGTATTTCTATTTCTAGCTTTTTAAGGAAGTGCCGTATTGTTTTCTAAAGTGGTTGTACCATTTTACATTCCCAACAGTGCATAAGAGTTCCAGTCTCCCCACAACCTCTCCAACATTTGTTATTTTGTGTTTTTTGGATTAGTACCAGCATTGTCAGGGTGAGATAACATCTCATTGTAGTTTTGATTTGCATTTCTGTAATGGCTAATGATCGTGAGCCTTTCCTCATATGTCTGTTAGCCACCTGAATGTCTTCTTTGGTGAAGTGTCTGTTCATATCCTTTGCCCATTTTTTTTTTTTTTAATTGTGCTTTAAGTGAAAGTTTACAGTTCAGGTTAGTTTCTCATACAAAAATTTATACACACATTGTTGTATGACCCTAGTTGCTCTCCCTATAATGTGACAGCACACTCCTCCTTTCCAAATTTCCCATGTCCATTCAACCAGCTCCTGTCCCTTTTTGCCTTCTTAGCTGGCCTCCGGACAGGAACTGCCCATTTAGTCTCATATATCTACTTGCACTAAGAAGCACTCTCTTCACGAGTATCATTTTATATCTTATAGTCCAGTCTATTCTTTGTCTGAAGAGTTGGCTTCGGGAATGGTTTCAGTTCTGGGCTAACAGAGAGTCCAGGGGCCATGTCTTCCAGGGTCCCTCCAGTCTCAGTCAGACTATTAAGTCTGGTCTTTTTACTAGAATTTGAGTTCTGTACCCCACTTTTCTCCTGTTTCGTCAGGGACTTTCTGTTGTGTTCCCTGTCATGGCGGTCATTGGTGGTAGTGGGGCACCATTTAGTTCTTCTGGTCTCAGACTGATGGAGTCTCTGGTTTATGTGGCCCTTTCTGTCTCTTGGGCTAATATTTTCCTTGTGTCTTTGGTGTTCTTCATTCTCCTTTGCTCCAGATAAGTTGGGACTTTGCCCTTTTTTTTTTTTTTAATTTTTTTTATTGTACTTTAGATGAAGGTTTACAGAACAAATATTTTCTCATTAAACAGTCAGTACACATATTGTTTTATGACATTGGTTAACAACCCCATGACACGTCAACACGCTCCCTTCTCTGGCCTTGGAGGACCTTTTTTTCTTTTTGGTGAAAGTATGCATAGCCAAAGATACACCATTTCAAAAATTTCTACATGTACAATTCAGTGACATAGATTACCTTCTTCCAGTTGTGCTGCTATTCTCACTTTAGATGAAGGTTTACAGAACAAAATAGTTTCTCATTAAACAGTACACATATTGCCCTATGACAATGGTTAAGAACCCCACTACATGTCAACACTGTCCTTACTCAACCTTAGGTTCCCTATCACCAGCTTTCCTGACCCTTCTGCTTTCTAGTCCTTGTCCCTGGACTGCT